CATTACTGCTTTTATCAATGTTATTGTTACTATTTAATGAAGTTGTCTATCATTACTGCATTATACCATGTTGATGTAGAAAGAATTTGAACATGTTAAAAGTATTGTTGTCATAGATGTAGATGTAGAAAATACTAAGAAAGAATATTATAGTACAGTAAAATATTAATGTTTTTATTTGGTTTGGTTTGCACAATGAGCCACTGAATATTTTCGTCATTGTACAGGCAAGAATTTAAAACTACTTTCAGCCATGGTTATAACCAAGTTAACATGAATAGTAATTTATTGATGATTTATTGGTGATGTTATTGATGTCATAGGGGTGGGTGTAAAAATAAGTTTATGCTTCCATCCACTCCCTGAATGTGTAAATATACTTTATTAGAGTTCTTTTGTTTGCTTTTGTTTTAAATGTTTTATTTGTAGATAACTTTATTTTTTTATTACACAATGCATTCAACATGGGCTGCACAGTGGTGCAGTTGGTAGAGCTGTTGCCTTGCAGCAAGAAGGTTCTGGGTTTGATTCCCAACCCGGGGTCTTTCTGCAAGTGCTACGCCTCTGTAAAGGGGAATAATGAAAACACGGACATGATGTTATTGCTCTTGTCTCCAGTGTTGTAATGGAGGAGCAGAAGTGTGGCGTTCCCCTACATCCGATCAGACAAAACCAATCGAGACTTGAACGATTAACAAACTCTCAAAACTTAAAATCTAAAAGGGTTGAACTTTTCAAGAATTATAAACGAACATAACCGGAAAAGTAACATTAAAGAAAATACATTTTAAACTTAGGCTACTTTTTACTGTATCGGCTTGTAGCGCTGAACTTGAAAGACCAAAATAATCGATCGCAGATCACTAGATCTTGTTTTCCCTTTTAGTTTCTAAAATAGTTTTATAACCACTACGCAAGGAGTTTGCATGTTCTCCCTGTGCATGCGTGGGTTCTCTCTGGGTACTCCGGCTTCCTCCCACAGTCCAAAAACATAACTAACTGGTTTCATGGTTAACTGGTTTCTCTAAATTGTCCCTAGGTGTGAGTGTGTGTGCATGGTTGTTTGGTCATCCACCTGTTACAATTAGTTTATAAACTTAAGTTTTTTCGTAATATTAAAATATTCTAATGCTGGGCCAATCCGACAGTATTACTCAACTTCGTTTAAGGAACTTCCGATGTTTGTTTTGCTCCAGACTCTGTCCATGATCCTGGCTCGACGTCTGTCCAAGGACAGGCCAAATGACGGGGTAAAGAAAAACAAAACATCTTCTAAATGTTATATTTTATAATCCTTCGCTTTTTATCTGGCTCTTCAGTCATGTTTTGGGCTCACTCGTGTTTTTTTAAACTCTTTTTCTCAGATCTTGCTGAACGCTTGCTGTCCAGGATGGGTACGCACCGACATGGCCGGTGAGAGAGCAGCCAAGTCACCAGACGAGGGCGCCGTCACACTGGCATATCTGGCCCTTCTGCCGCCTGAAACTATGGAACCTCACGGAAAGTTTGTCTCTGACAAGAAAGTTCAACCGTGGTGAACACTGGATGAATTTAAGTCTTCACATAGGCAACAATCTGTTCATTTTTTAAGAAGGGGTTGAAACCAGTTACTGAAAGATACAAAGGTACAAAAGGGACAAAAGGTACAAAAGAACCTTCTTACCAACAACACCATAAACTGCAAAGTTTCACAAAAAAGTCACTACAACAACACAAGCAATAGGCTTTACCAAGATATCCCCAAAGTGTTCTGATTGGACATCACAGATATAGTATGGCGGAAAGTGTCAAGGGAAAAGTTGGCTCCCTTAGACTTTTCTCTCCCGTTTGACATCTTGGATTCTGGCATTGGCTGTTACTTGCACACACACATAACAATAAAATAAATTCTTAAATGCTGTGTTTTATGCCAAAGACAAATATGTCAGACGAAACAACCTCATTCAGATGCCTTCAAACTGTTTCTGGTTAAAATCTTGTAAATCATCTCTGCTCCATCTATTCTCCCGTTGAGTCAGTACCCCAGCAGATTGTGAGCCAGCATGGTGCTGATGTACATTACGTGTAACAGTGGGAGTTGTAGTCTTGTCAGACAAGAGTAAAGCCCCGATTGCCTTGTAGATAAAAACTAATCCGTTGCGTGGGAGCAGTGTGGTGACGGCCAGAGACAGAGGGGAAAGATAATCCTCTAATCTCTGCTGTCTGCCAGAGGAATTTCCCTCACCCTCCCTTTGATGATCATAATGACCGCCACTGTCATTGTTTGTAAGCGCTGGACGGGCATTATAATTACTTTATTGATCCTGTAGTTGGGAATTCCCTCAGTGGTAAATTCACAAGTGACAAAACTAATACAGTCATCAATAACAACTTTGAATACGTGCAGCACATTATTAGGGTGGACAAGAGGCCTTGTTTCTCTATAACTCATTTATCTGTGTCATTTTTAGCATAAATGACAGTTTATAACATGGATGCTGATTTTAATATAAAAAAGTGCTTATATCCAATGGGACGACATTGCTAATAATTAGCTTATTTAGCCTGTTTCATGTTAGACACGTTCTACTAAATTCTAAGGAACTAATAATAATAAATAAATAATAATACATTTGATGTATTTTGCAATCTACATTTACAGTTACCGCTGAATGTGGGTCATAAAATTGAACCAAAAAATTTTGTTAAGCACAATTAATTTGTGAGCTAGGTATTTCCCAACATGGCCCAGTTGGTTCCATGTTTTTTTTTTCTTTTGCACTACATGTAACCCTTTCCATTACTTAAAAACTGCATTTTGTATTTTCCTGTGCTATTTCTGTCGGATCTTAAACTTTGTTTGACCTTAGGCATTCAACTGGACAGAAACTTCCAAAAGATTTATTGTTGTTTTTAATCAGAAAGTTTCACAGTTTAAAAAGAATACAACATTACCACGCTGTGGCATTTTAAATATCTATATGTGTATGCTGCCAATGCTACACACCATCACCATGACCTCCAAAGTCTAGTGTTAAGATGTGATTTTGAGACCTGACTACAAAATGGTTGACTTACTGTGCTGTGTACTAAAAAATAAGTGAACGGACAATTCAAACACAACTTGGGAACATTTTATCCTGTCTTTTTTATTTTCCTGTAGCAACTAGCTGGCCACATGCTAAAAGTATGCTAACATTAGCATATAAACAGAGCTAGGCTATCTGGTATTTTTTACCGTATAAATTTATTTTCTCACAAATTTTTATTATTTCCATGACAAGAAAATTGCGACTGCTTTTTTTCAGCTTCTGTTGAGAGTTTTAATGTTCCTTAGCCACCAGGGTCTGCAGCCCTGTCTAGCTTTTAAAACAAAGTTATAAACAGCAAAGTATAAAGTCACTATGGAAGAGTGCCATATGACCTGGCTTTTGGTTAAAAAGCAGATAGATTTTCAGAAATAGACATATTTACTAAACCCATATCTACTTTTATCAAAGTTACAAACTGCACATATTGTAAAGAAAGCCTTCTGGGTAACGTTTAGCCTATTTCAGGTTTGTTAAACTGTGAACCTGTGATGCAGCTGAAGTCCATTAACCTAATTTGCCTATCAATGACTAACCTGTCATAAGTAACTTTTCACATGCTTTATATCCCGGTTCATTAGAATGTAACACATGAATGATGATTCAAAAGTGCAATAATAAATTATTTATGACCCAATAACAATATTGTGTCGATTCCCAGATTGCAGAAAATTCTCCTTTAGCATCACACTGTAGTTCATGCTCTTTAATTAGCTACACACCACTTTGACTTTGACTTTTTGACCATTTGAAAAAGACCGCAGGGCATAAAATCCATTTATGGGTAACATATTAAAATGTGCTACTACAAAATGAACAGATTAATTTGCAAATTCCTCATGAAAGATTTATTGACTGGAGACGACATCTTGACTTTGACAGTTTTTGATAACTAACCTATTAGGATTGCTGATGAATGACTTACAAAACCTTTAGCAATAAGTAAATTATTAATAGGAAAGCTAGTTTTTTGGATTAAATATTTTAGAAAAGCCTATTTTCCTTTAGAAATTTTACAACATCAAGGCACAGATGATACACAAAAATCACTTCATAATCTCAATACACGAGAAGAAAAAAGGCTTTTTATGAGCAAATTCTAGTCTTTTTTTTTAGATAAGTTCAAGGAAATTTATCCTTGAATTTGAGGTTTTAGGTACCAAATCCAGACCAACATTTCTCCTTCTTAGAAATCCATAAGGCACCGTCTTTCTTTCACAGCGTAGGTTGTTCCCTTATGAGTAATTTTTTCTCTCACTGACACTTTTGTCTCCTCTGCATTATTTGTTGCACTCTAGCTAAAAAGTATGTGGAGAGCAAAATGTGCAAAAATTATTCTCACATTACGTTATCTTCCAGTAGATCAGAGGTTCCCAAACTGTGGGGCGCGCCCCCTAGGGCTTGCCCCATAGTTTGGGAGCCTTGTTGAGCCATTTTGGCTCAACAAGGTATTTTTGAATTGAGTTGAATTAAAACATGAGCAAAGCTGCTACAGACTACAGTCTCCCAAAAGACTTGCAGCTGTAAGTTCAGCAAAAGGTGGTTCTACAAAGTATGAAGCCATGGGGGGTACAAAT